TGCCAAGAACCTACAACCAAGATTACTTTATCCAGCAAAGCTATCATTCAGAAGTGAAGGTCAGATAAAGAGCTTCACAGATAAGGAAAAGCTAAAGGAGTTCATCACCACCAAACCAGGATTATATGAAATGCTGAAAGGTATCCTATAAGAAGAGGAAGAGGAAGAAAAAGGTAAAGATACAAATTATGAACAACAAATACGCATCTATCAACAAGTGAATCTAAGAATCAAGTGAATAAATAATCTGATGAACAGAATGTACTGGTGATTATAATAGAATCAGGGACATAGAAAGGGAATGGACTGACTATTCTTGTGGGGGAAAGGGGTGTGGGAGATGCGGGAAGATACTGGACAAAAATCGTGCACCTATGGATGAGGACAGTGGGTGGGGAGTGAGGGCAGGGGTGGGGTGGGAAAACTGGGAGGAAGGGAGTTATGGGGGGAAAAAGAGGAACAAATGTAATAATCTGAACAATAAAGATTTAAATAAAAAAAAAGAAATGTCAGACAAAGACAAATACCATGATTTCACTTAAATGTGAAATCTAAAAAGCAAAATAAACAAACAAAATAGCAACTCATAGATACAGAGAGCAGATTTAAGGTTGCCAAAGGTTGTCAGGGGGCTGGGTGAAAGAGGTGAAGGTGGTAAGAACAAATTGGTAGCTACAGAATATTCTCGGGGATATAAAGTGCAGCATAGGGAATATAGTTCATAATATTGTAATTACTATGTATGTGCCAGGTGGGTGCTTGAAATATCAGGGAAATCTCTATGCATATATCTAAAACCAATACAAAATAATATTGAATCAATTTATATAAAAACCCTGGGTGTAACACCCATCACAACTGAGGCTGACCAACCAGAAGGAAGTCAGTCCTGCAGGGGTTGTCTTGGCAATGGCTGCGCCCTCCCCAGCTGTTTCCCCCGTGAGGGTGAGGTTTGAGGCAGGAACCGGCCCTCAGAGCGTGGAGGCACTGAGTCCTGGGTCATCTTGGCAAGGGCTGTGCCCTCCCTGAGCTGTTTCCCACGAGGCCTGAGGGAAGGACCCACCCCCAGAGCGCCAGGAGTGCCCAGCGGCAGTCAGTCCTGGGTTGCTGAGGCGGAGGCCATGGTGTGGTAGAACTCTGGGTCTGGCCCAACAGGGGAGTGGCCAGCCTTCAAACCAGACTCTGACATTAGGGAGGAGGGAGCCCCATTCCTCACAGAATGGACAGGTGGCCAGCTTGCTGTCAGGGGCCTGCCAGCTAGGAATCCTATTCACCTGCATACCTGCATAAAGTTTTAATACATTATATTAGAGGTCGTGGTGGTACTGTTTACCCACAGCATCTACAAGAATTGCTGCAAATTTACTTCTCGTTGGAAGCACCTTTCATTCCCAATATAAATTACCAATTCCTGCCGAAACCGGTTTGGCTCAGTGGATAGAGCGTCGGCCTGCGGACTGAGGGGTCCCAGATTCGATTCCGGTCAAGGGCATGTACCTTGTTTGCGGGCACATCCCCAGTAGGGAGTGTGCAGGAGGCAGCTGATCGATGTTTCTCTCTCATTG